AGCCATTTCCAGGTACCTAAAGGACAAGGTGGTGACTGGAAAGAGGCACATTGGACTTATCAAGGGTAAATTGTGCCTGACCAACCTGACTGCCTTCTCTAATGGCTCTGCTGATGAGGGGAAGGCGATGCACGTCGCTTACTTGGGCTTTAGCAAAGCCTTCAGTATAGTCTCCCACAGTTGTCCTATATTCATTCGCGGAGATACTCAAAAATCAGCTGGACAAGTTGCCATGCAGCTTGAACTAACTTCTACACTAGCCCTGCTTCGAGCAGGATGTCAACCTCAATGACCTTCTTATCCTCTCCCTCCAACCTAAATAACCTTATGATTCTGTGATTTGTCTCGTGGTCATAAATGTTCACACCAGAAATCACAGAATCATAGAACAGTTTGGATTAGAAGGGACATTTAAGGTCACATAGTCCAACCCCCCTGCAATGAGCAGGGACATCTTCAACTAGAGCAGGTTGCTCAGAGCCCCGTCCAACCTGACCTGGGATGTGTCCAGGGATGGGGCATCTACCACCTCTCTGGGCAACCTGTGCCAAGGCGTCACCACCCTGACTGTGAAAAGTATCTTCCTCATATCTAGTCTAATTCTACCCGCTTTTAGTTTAAAACCATTACCCTTGTTCTATCGCAAGAGGCCCTGTGAAAATCTTAGCGGTAGCAGTAGCAGCAGAAACAAGCTTTATCAATAGACAGACATTTGCCATAACATAGGAAAAAGGAAAATGGGAAGAAACAAGTCATCAATATTTAAAAACTATCTGGTATTATACTTCATTCAGTTACTAAAATACTAAAAAAGTTAATGGGGCCACTTAGAGAAAACATGCAGGCATTACAATAGTCTGATTTGGACAAATTTAATAACTATGCATGCTCTAGGGAATATCTGGAGATGCTGTCTATGCTCAGTCTTTTCTGACTGCTCCTGAATTCTTATCAGTAATTATGACTTTTTTAGAGTAAATTCCACAGATTAAATAAGTTTCAGTGTCTTCCTTATGGAAAACTTCTCACAAGCATCAAAATATTGCAGAAAATTATACTACTTCTTAGCAATTTTTTCTTTATAGAAAAAAAAATTACTGTACTGTGAACTTTTAATGCTTGCCCTAGGCCTTCCTCAAGTGTCTGGAAAAAATTTAATCCCTAAACAAGAACTTTTATGCCACTAAAGTCTACAAGGTTCTGCTCAAGTGGATAAAATAAGACAAGAAACTCTCAAAAGACCTAATTACAATTACTAGTACTACTACTGTATGTATCATAACAAGTCAATTGGCTGAAGCACAAATAATGCTAAGGCAAACAAAGTGTCGTCTTAAGCTACCTAAGGCTCAGATTTCACTTTTTTATATTGAAGCATTACTATTTAAATTAGTATCCATCATACATATGGTCCAAGTTCATTTCCTTATTTCAGGATTTTCTTTAAAAAGAAGATCTTTTCATCTTACAAGATGAAAGGACACATAAAAATTAAGACCATAGCATCAGATGGATATAATTAACTATTTAGACCAACATTCAGCATTAGACTGTTATCCTCGCAAATTGTTTAGTCCACTTTCTAAAATTATTAAGCAATGCAGTAAGTTAGCCCTACCTTTCTGAATCAGAAAGACTATTTGTGGTGTGTCTTTTCTATTTAGAATGCAAGTTTAATATTCCAAATCAAAAAACTGAACTCAACAGTTCTGTCTTGATAAACTAGATTAATTTACAGAGACTTAAGTCTTTGGGATAATTTTCCACTTTACAAAAGCATTTTATTGCAGTTTGTTGTTATTAAGGAAACCATAAATATCGTAAGAATATCCTAAGGAGAACTGATCATACACAGGTTTGTAGAAACTCCAAAACCAGAAAGGCCCCACCAGTCCCTGAAAAACCTGGTGTATAGTGACTTTTGGTAGGAGAGGTAAGGGAAGTTTGTATCTATGATGATTTCCCCTTAACACAGAAGGCACTTTATGTCAATTAGAAAATGAGACATTAACATCTTAGAACGCATGGAATTGTTCAGCGTATTTACACCACAAGAGGAAGAGTTTTGATGAGACGTTATCAGAACACGACCATCTCATACCAAGGATTGTAAGAATGTATGCGCGAGGTTATCGGGACTCTCAGTAACAAGTGACCACTAGTTCACGACTACATAGCGCCTACCAGAAGGTGACCTTATTCTTATTTTGTCCACAGCAAGTCCTTGTATCAAAACTTTAAAAAGAAGAAAAGTCCATTAGAACTGATTTAGTATATAAATGAAACACAAAAGATGAATTACATTTGAAAAAAACAGAGTAGTTACAATCTGCTGAAAATACACAAAACTGACTTGCTCAAAATCAAATCCAGCATAAGAAAAGGATTCAACTACAGAGGGTTTTTTAACTATGCCAAACACTTTCATAACAGCCTCTTCCCCTCCTATTAAGTAACACCACCACCGATAATAAAATCAATGCAAGCCTGCTGTCTGCTTTGAGTACTGTCTAGTACTCAGAAGAACACAGGTATCTGTGCACTCACATAAAGAGCCAAGTAAAGGAGATTCTGGCCAATAAAACACAGATAATATTTCTCAGTATAAATGATTAGGGTAGTTTATGCAGTTTACAGCACTGTTCCACATCCATTGAGAAGTATTTGCAGAAGGAAGATGCATACACGTGTATACAGCATTAGCATAGTGTTAATATTGTATAGAAAGTATATAAATAACACTTAATAAATTAACTTGGATTCTATCTTTGCAGTTAGTGGAATTTAGATGATCAGAAGATGCATTGCACTTCCATACGTTTGAAATTTTGGCACCCCAAGCCTTGTGGTGATCCTTTCATAATCAGTGCTTTTTATTGGAGATTTTACTTCAGTTATGAAAGTAATGGACATAGGTAAAGCATTACCTATTACAATCCTACGACATATAGCCATTATATTAAAGGCTAAAGGATGGAATAGCCATTTATTTCTTCAGAATACAATGTTAATGTACAAAATATAAAACTATCATATCTTGAAACTCAAGAAATTTGCCCTCTGTATGAAGATATATCTCACAAAATTCCTCTCTCCTTAACTGGCAATCAATCCACATGGATAAAATGTAGTCACCTAGATTGTATTTAATTGCTTTATAAAAACAATTAGCAAAGTCCACTCACTGGTTCCCACACAAAAACTTCGAAAAGAACAAGCATTACTGCAATCACAGTATGAAAACACATATCATTAATACTACATCTCATACTCCAAAGTTCACAACACTGAGAAAATTCAATAGTCAAATTATTATCACTATTGTTTTTTAAAGTCTTAAGTACAGCTTTTTTGCTGTGGTATAAAAGATCTTTTACATATGATTCACTAACACCCTTACCCCTGAATTAAACACTTCACTCTTCCAGAATTGCTTACAGAAACTCATTCTAAGCCTGAAACAATGAAAATTTCATCTGTTCCTGGAACTGCGATGTATGCATAGTAGTTTCTTTTATGCTTTGGGTTCATTTGGAAAGGCCGTAATGTATTCCAACTTTGTTATCAGAAGAGTTATTGCATTTCATATTTAATTTCTCACATTTACCACAAATACGACTCCCCCGCCCCGCCCCGGTATTACTCAGTTACTCCAAAGCAATACATGAATCTCTTATAAATATTCTCCCTGTAAACTCAATTATAACCATTGAAGAGCAACATCAGCCAGATCTTTAGGACGTCAAAAGGGAGAAAAATAGAAGTGAGCAATTTTAAGTGTTTTCATGCTAGTAGGCCTCCTAGAAAACATGTGCCCTCTAGCTCCTATCACCTTCACAGCAGTTTGCATGCATACACGAGGACAGCTTTTCATCACAGTATTTGGCCATTGCTAGTCTGAAGTCTGTTTGAAGCAGTTACAGCAGAGCAGATTTCCAAATTCAGATATCCACATTTGAAAATGTAAGCCTTGGATTTATGAAAAAGTAAATACACCGAAACATCTCCCAACAACTATTCCTGTTGTTGACAAGTCTTCGCGCAGATGTGTTGGCATACTTACTAATTATAAAAGAATTGGTGATGTGCTTACGGAAAAAAAAGAATAATTTCAGCAAATTTAAAATGAATACTTAAATATATTGTAGTAAAAGTTTCCTAATAAAGTAAACTTGGTATGAAAGTTACGTTTTAAAGTAGTTATTCCTCCATCACACACAAGCCTAAACTCCTTATGATTACGTGATAAATTGAGCCAGCTACTGGCAATAGATCAGGGAGCCACAGCTGTATGGTAAACAGTGGTATTTCCAAGTGATGTTAATATTCACTAGAGACACAATGTGACATTCTAGGCATCTGTTTTCCCTGTACACTTCCTCTGGTGCAACTAATTATGGCTCCCAGACAGCCACTAGGAAAAATGACAGTAAATCCATTAAAAAAAACCTAGCTGTTGAAAATGAAATACTTGAATTCCTTCATAAAAAAGCCATAACCTGACATCAACCACACTTGATGACTGGAAATAGCAATACGAACATCTAGCTCAACTTCACGAGATCTCTCAGCAATACAGAGCTCATCTTGAAAGTCTCAGCCTCAGCATCACAGCATCATTAAGGCATCAGCCAGATTCTAACACATCATGAATAACAACACATCCATACAGGTTTTCATTTTAACGTATTTTTCAGTATCACGCCTGTTCGTTGTGTGTGAACCAAAAGGCATGGTTTTTAAAAGAGGAAAAATATTTTCCAATTATCCATATGTCTCAACCACATTGACAGTTGAGTTTGCAAGTTATAAACTGAAAGATGATAGCTATCAGTGACCAAAAATGAAAAAAATTGAAACATTCATCCAGTTTCCTGCCACAGAATAGAATATAAAATTAACTATAATGACAGAAATAGAGAGAAAAGGAAAGAATTAAAAATTGGGAAAAATCAAAGAGGAAATAAAAGTATGTATAAAGTTTTGCAGACATTACTCACCAAAAAAAGAGTTCTGAAGTTGCTCAGATCACCGAAGAATTCTTCTATGCTTATTGCTTTGGGATCAAAGGTGAAGTATTCTCCCAAATTTTCATACAATTTAGTCATGTTGTTGTGCATGTTGGACAATTTTTCGTATTGCTCTCGGGCACTCTCAGCAAAGCTGTAAGGTTTTGTTAAGGAAACTGATTCAAATCTAACGGTAGAAAAAAAATATCAAGAAAACAGTATGAAGGTTAGAACTGGAAAATTTGCTAGTGCTGTCCTGCTTTCAAATATGACACTTTTATATATTAATGTTTACATGTTTGCAAGTTCATACCAACATAAGGTGGTGGCACACTTTTCCATCAAATGACCCCTTTCCAATGGTGAAGATTTACCATTATTAGACTATATCACTGACTTAATAAAATTCCCAAATACCTTTGACTTTTTTTCCTAATAAACGATTAATTTTGTAAAATACATTATATGAAACACACTGAAAATTAGTTTCCTGTGAGAATCTGATTATGATGCCCCACACTGTTAAAAAAACACCAAGTCCCCCATATTATATAAATATATTTTATATGTAAGATTTGCGTTGTGCATAACTACCAATGACAAAATTACATAGTATGACGTCTGATTTTCTTTACCTTTTATTATAGATGTGCCGCCTTTGTGGATTCTTTAATGCCTAGACACATCAGGAAGGCTCATGCCTCAGGCTTCCTCTACTAGGCACACTTATTTGGGTCTTCTCTTAACTAAGTAATTTCACAGAACTTGTAAAAAAGGAATATCCACCCACCTGCCCCAGTTAACTGACAAAGAGCTTTGAAAAATTTTTACTAAGAAAAACACCATGGAACAACAAAAGACTTTTTTTCCATGAAGTCTAGAAATGAAAGTGCGATTGACTTCCATCCCAGCACTCATGATTAAAGGTTTGGCATAATATTTTTAAATAGAAAAATGTGGCATTTTTTCCCCCATATGAGAAAGTATTTTCACAGCAATTCTGTTGCAAAAACAGGAAAGGTGGAAGTTATTAAGCGAAATACTAGTTTGCCTCAAAACAAGTTTCAGTCTGCTCTTTTATTCTGTTGTGATAGTTTATATCCACGAAGTCACAAATCACTATAAAAAAAACAGCTAGTACATGATTAAACTAGTTCTGCTGATACTGAACTGTAGCTGATTAAAGTGTTGCGCTGTACATATCAAAACCAAAGAACAAAAGACCCAAGTTATTCCCTGAACTACAAAAATCATGCAGCCTGGCTCCCTGTGGCTCTTACTTGTAACGACTCTCTTCCATGTGGATTCCGATTTTTCATACAGCAGAGCTCATGCTTCAAACTCTCCCCATACTTGAGTCTCTAATTTGAGATTCTGCCTAGTATCACATTTCTAATTACTCACTATCTTTCAGATCCCTATCTCTCTGCAAAATAACAACCAACCTGGAAACTAATTAGGGGAAAGAGACATACAGAGAAATTGTATAAACAATTCATTTTTGCAATTAGACTAAACCAAAAAATGATTCTTCAGAAAACAGTCAACAAATTGCAGAATAAAGAAAGGAAATTCAGGTGGCTATTCTATTCATATCATTTCTGTAGTGTTTGGATATTGTTGAGTACTTGAAAGGCTGTCATTTCCAAGCTACATGCAAGAGTAACGAGGCTGAAAATATCTTCCACTGGAAAGGAGGCTAATACTTCACTTGGATTTTCCTGCTCTAATGGGAGAGTATGTAAATAGTCATTTAAAAACTGGTTTTTAAAAGTATGATTGAAAACTTTATATAATGTAAATCTTCCTCCTAAGAAATTATTTTCCAAGTAAACCTCTCTTCATTAGAGTCTCAGTAGCACTAAAGTAAAGCCGTATTCTTTCATTAAGATTATAATGTTTGTTTAGAATGGCAAAAAGAAGAAACCAACAATGTGATGGATCTTAATTCGGAGCTTAAGATTTCAAAATGGTAGTATCTACCTATATGGCTTCATACCAGTGGAAACACAGCAATAATACCTACATTTTCAGTTTACTGAAATTAAGTTTAACCTGCTTGGTTAGAATTTCAAGGTTGGACTGTTGAGTCGCTCATGTTAATACAGGAGAAACTTGGTATAGTTCAGTCTTCAACGACATTTAACTGACCAAAAAAAAAAAAGAAAGTTTAATGGCAAGAATACACTGAATAGGTAATAATGGCACATAACTGAATTATTGAGCACAGTCTAAAAAGTTTTAGAAAAACACAAATTGCCTTAGAGTCAGCAGACAACTGTGTTGAACAACTCACCAAAAGTACTAGGAAAAAGAAATACGAAGGTATGCAATTATACAAATTGTTCCTGTGATTCCTGTAAAAACAATCTCATAGAATATGACATAATACCAAATCAGTGTATTAAAAATGACTGAAAAGTCTGAAACAAAAAAAAAGAAAAAAAACCTTTGAACATTCCAAATTTGAAATGAATTCTTCAAGACAAAGCTCCCAGAGTCAAAGCCCCCATTCAGGTTACACATTCAACATGAGGAATGACAACAGTAAGCACTAAAAAGAAAACAACAATACTGGTACTGAAACTAGACATATTTTAAAGTATCACTCTAGAAACATATACTGTAATTTCAACATGATTATTTTTTTATTTAATACCTACCAAGCTGCAAATAAGAAACACCTTTAACAGATGGCTTGTAAGACAAAAGAATGTCGGTAAGATGGATGAGTATGATGAGCAAAGAGAGAAGAAAGTATTTTAACTACACTTAATTTTGAAGAAAACAAGTCAGTGCTCTAGAGGCAATAGTTTCCAGTCATATACCATGTCACAGTAACAAAAAATTACCTTTGTCACAGGCTACACGCTACATAAATAGCATTAGTAACTGGAAACGTCACCTTGAAATGTACTGCTTGAAGTCGTTGCAAAGACTTACGTCAATACAGTAATTCCAGAGAAGCAAAGCCGTAGTCACCTACACTAATTCACAAAAAACATTACTGAAACATCTAAGCTATCAAAACTTTGCATAGTAGAAATACTTAATTCCAACAGTTTTCATTAATATAGATTGAAGCTTTGAGTGCTCATTTAAAAACTCTAAACAAGGTTTCATTCCTAGTATTCTGAAGCAAAACAAAAGTCACAGAAGTATCAAGTGTAAAGATGCTTCTTTAACTCAGAGAAATTACTTTATTCACAAGCTTGTTTTTCCACATATACACATTTTTTAGTTTCTTTCGTAACCATAAGAAAATTCTAAGCCAAGACTTAGCTGTAAATAGTATTATATGGAAAAATTTTTTTAAAAAACAAGTCACAAAAAACAGTCACACTTTTAAAGTTTTGAAATACTTTAGTCATTACTAGGTAAAGGAAATTTTATGCCCTTTAAGCCATTTCCTTTTTTCATTTTAATACTACTGCAGATGGCAACTACACAAAACTGCTCTGAGATTTTCTAAGTGTCAAGTTTGAATTTTGAAGAAGTGTTATTTCAGTTGACATTTTACAGGTGTCTTCCAAAAGTGCTATCCTACTTCACTGGTTTCAACACATCCCCCTGAGATCAATAAATAAATAAACCACTGTTCAGTAACTGGTACCAAGAAGTTAATCACATGTGCTTTACCATGCAATCCAGTAAAATCCTCTGCATGCCATGCCTCTAAAGGACTCTGTAGAAAACTAAATTACAAACAAATAACAACAACAACAAAAAATTCATGTCTTTTAAACTACAAAGACACCTGTAAATATAACCATTAATTTCCATTATCCTTATTACTTAAGTCTTGTTGCCGAATTTCAGTTATCTACCGATGATACTTTTTCCTGTCTCTTCTTCATGTTAAAAGAGAGGCCTGGAAGCTTCCGCATCTTTTTTTCTTGCCCCCCCTTTTTTTTTTTCCTAAAAGGATTTTGTTGATGTGTTAACATTTACATTTGCTGCCGACTTAAGCTTCCATTCAGTTCTGTGCTTTGCCTGGCCATGACCACCACCAGGAAGGGGGGGAAAAAAAGAATAAAAATAGTTAGCTACCCAGATGGATAACATTCTCACCGCAGAAATCCGCAAGTGTAGCATTAGTATCAGAAAACAATATTAATATCGCTGTACAAAGCCAGCTGTACTCACAGAGAAGATTTTTTCAGTCATTAAGCAATGACTTTTTACACTTTCAAATATGATGACTACAGTTTCCTGGCATTTCAGTGCAATGCTAAATTAATACACTTAATTAAGCAACCAATGGATACAAATGTTACCATGACACTATGCTACTACGTTATGTCAGAGACGAAGAATAACCAATTACCATCAATAGTAGAATTAAATTTTTTATGTCCACATTAGGACCACTTCCATGCTTTCTACTGCTTTCTTCCACGTAAACAGATAAGAAAAAAAGATCAGAGAAATCAAGGTTAAGGACCTCAAATCTGCTGGAAGGAAAGTCATCACTTCTTCCATAACTTTGAATTTCACATCAATATATCAATAACTTGAATAATAGTTAATAAGGTACCTGAACACACAAAAAACTCACATGCCCAAAGGCAAGACCTATTCCTGTCAGCATTTACAAACAAAACGAAAGCCAACAGTGACAGTTTGGCATTCATCAACAATAAACATGCCAGAGTAGAAAGAACATCGGTAATTTAATTATAAAAAATGCACTGGTGTTCCAGCAGTGAAGGAGACCTCTCTCCAGGGCATATAGTCACTATAAAATGGAATTTAAGGGATGTTGACTACAGGTCTGAAACAGTAAAACAAACAGACCGCAGAGCTGATGTCTTGGATACCTCCAGAAGAAGAAAGAATGCACTGCAAACAAAAAGGAGATACCTGCCAGAAACTTCTTAACACTTTCCAAAAGCATTTCAAAGACTAAATAGAAGTTTTTGACATCTCCTTCCAGCTGCTGGTTACAGGAAGCTGAGAACACGTGAAAGCAGCATTCCACTGGGAGAGTTTTTCCTGTAATGCTTGATTCTCAAAAGTTGGTGCTGACACAAAAAAATTGATTTCAGAAGGAGTCAGCTGGCATTCTTCTACAGATGGATTAACTCCTAACAGAGAGCAAAACCACAAAGACAAAAGAAAAGAAAGGCCCACTGGGACTAGAGATGGAAGATGTC